ATCATGCTCGTCACTCTGCTCGTCCAGGTGGTTGTCTTTCGCGACCGACCAAGACCGACCAAGAAGTCTCGACGAGAGGTCATCGACTGGACAGCATTCAGAGATCCGGCATATGTGGTATTCATCCTGGGAGGTATTGTGACATCAATCTCCCTGAATATTCCCAACTTCTACGTGCAAACCTACGCGATCCAATACCAGATCACCAGCGGCGAGTTTGGCTTCTACCTGCTGTCAGTCATCACGGCAGGATCGGTCTGCGGTCGCATCTGCCTCAACGCATTGGCCGGGAAGATCGGACCCTTTAATGTGCTTTTCCTCAGCATCTTGATCTGTGGCGCCCTGAGCTTTGCCTTAATTAACCTCCACAGCATGGCGGGGATGGTCGTGATCGTGATCATTTACGGGTTCTTTTCCGGCGCCTTCATCTCTTTGCCTCCGCCCTGCTTCGTCAAGTTGTCCCCCCGTCAAGATCAGGTTGGCACGCGCATGGGCATGGGATATGCTGCGATGGTGGCTGGAAATCTCGTGGGCACTCCGATCGCCGGGGCGATCCAGGACCATCGCGGCTTCCATTCTATGTGGATCTTCGCGGGCGTCATGTCCATCGGTGGAGGAGTGATTATGTTCATCAGTCGCGGGTTTCAAGGCGGGTGGCAATTATGGAGAAAGGTCTAAATGTTGTCTAAATTTGCTGTGTGCATTGGTTGCGTCTCATTTGTTTCCGTAGTCATCATATTCCCTTAGGGCTACATGCGTACCACTCGTGAGCATAATAAAGCACGGGTCACTCTCGTATTCCTGCGGTCAATCAATCTCACCTTTCTAGAATTCTGACAAGAACAAGATCAGGCTTCCCATACCAATCGACCAGAACCATGGTTCACAAATGGTGATGCAATCTGACAGCTCTAGACCCGCCTTGTGGCTATGCGCCAAAGAACCGGCTCTAAACATCCACCAAAGCCACCAAACAGGCCCAATCCAGAGGCCCAAAGATATTCTGGGCTATATAAGCATTCGCGATCAATTCCTAAATCGGCCATGAGCGCGACGCTAATGGCGACCAATCAACGTTTCCATCGCAGGAGTTACCCGTTTGGGCCGTATAGCTTCATTTTGTATGCCATTGTTGCAATATATAAGCCTGAAAGACGTCTTTCGAGTTACAATATCATTCCATCCTCTATTGCTTTCTTTCCATTCAATTCTCATATCCTAACAATCTTCTTACACACCCTGTCAATCAAGCAACATGGTTGCAACCGGTCTCCCATCTCCATACTCTGCCCATGGATACACCCAAGAATATCTTCAAACCCAGACACCAACGGCAAGTCAAATGTCCTCTCAACAGCAATACCCCAGCCCATCCACCCATCAAAATCACTTGCCCTATCCAATTGTTATCCCACAACGCCGACCCGGCAGCAAAGAGCGAGGCTGGGTAAAAGCGTATGCGCCCATTCTAGAACAGTACGATATCCAACAGGACATGTTCCTGGACTTTCTAGAGTCGCTAAACAAAGCCATGCAAGGATCGAAGTTCCTGATGGCCTTACAAGTCGCGGCCCTTGGAGCCGGGTTTGTCCCCAACACCATCGCCATGGGGGTCACCGTTGCCGTGCAAGTCGCGGCGACGATAGCGACAAAGGCAGAGACGAAATGGAAGTATGTCGACTTTCCTGATACTCATTTAATGTACTTGAACATTGCTTATGATATTCTTCCAGAATCAACTCGTTATTAGATCGCTACAATGAACAGGTCCTGCGCCCGCGCGGTCTGTACTGTCTGATCGTTTCATACAATCCTAGTACCACCATAATAAGCAAGAACAAGAGCGACATGGATATCATTGCACAAGCTGTCTCGCAACCATCCACGCATCCCAACTTCATCCGCAAGGCGAAGAAAAATCTGCGAAATCCTTTCCCAGCCACGACGGAAGGGCAGCAGAATTTGCCGCCGATGATAGCACCACTGGTCTTTCCCTCTGCGGTAGACGAAGCTGTCGCCCCAAAGAATAAGTTTACACGGCGTGTAGACCGGCTCAACAACTATCTGGACCGGAGGGCGCAGGCACGATATGTTAGTAGTTGTTACTGTTTTCAGATTCAAATTCTCTAATGCACCCCTAGGCTGCTGAGAGCAAGCAAGATATCCTGTCTATACCACAGAGACAAGAATTCCGAAATCGGTATCTCGATCCGAACCATCCGGTCAACAACGGGGGCTTACTGGGGCTCATTTCCGGTGGACACCTTACTTCCAATGCCCAGGAGATTAGGAGAACTGGAATGGGTACAATAGCAACACAGGAGAGGATGGTCCACGAACAATACAATGCGCAGATGGCACAGCTACAAGAGCAAATGCGGTCTCAGCACATGTCGCCGCAGGTGCAACGGGCGTACATCGAGAATCTGACCGCGACCTACCAGCAACAAATTGGCCAGATCGACTCCCAAAGAGAGCTTGCAGAGAGGGGGCAGCGTAAGCTTACTCGGGTTAGTGGAAATCGAAGGTCCTGAATATAGAGTCCAGCTGACGCGAAGGCAGGATCTGCTGTACTTGATGATTGTTGATATGCCGTCTGAAGAAGAGCTTGGCATCGCTCAAGCGCAGCTGAATACTTTGTCTCCGGATAGATAATCATAGACAATTTCGTGGTGCATTGTTAGATAGATACATCGGGTACTGCAACAATATCTCAGAAAACGATACAATCATTGGCAAAGCCGTACATGACTACCCCGACGAAGTCTTTGTCCTTTCAATACCTCAAACATGATCTGCAACATGGAACCAGTCGTAGCGATGACAATAGCATGTTCAACCTTGGCTTTCTATGCATTGAGACTAGGTCCCTTGACGCAAGTAATCTACAAGTATAAAAACGTAAGTACTTCCCGTGATTCACCGACAGAAACGAATATGTGCAAGTTCGATATACGAATCACTCACACAGCAAAGCTTAGAACTGCCGTCACGTCGGCATTGGCGAGGATAGCTGTAGCCGGTCAGATGGTCGAACTATGAACTAAGGATCAACTCACTCTCGAGGACAGCCTCGGTCTGAACCAAGTGTCTATATAACCCGCGTTAGAACCCAATGTATAAATGGGATATGGCGCATACAATGCATCGTGCAGCCTAATATCGGTCAGCCTTCGTCTGTATAATATGACTGGAACCTTAGTTTAACCCAGTTCCAGTGTTCTTTAGGGTATGGAAGTTATTACCACTTTATACTCAGAGTTGTCGTTTACGGTGTCGGGAGAGGCATAGGCCAATGCGGCCAGGGTAATCAGGATATGAACGAAACGCATTGTCACGTTGATTTAAACTAGTTGCCTGGGGTCAATGCTGTGATTTGTGATGTATACATCAGACACTAGTGAAAAGAGTGACTTACTGTTGGAGTCGATAAAAGAATGCCAAGATATGGTGATCAGGAAACAGTTGTATGGATGTGAAAGGTATTCTCTGTCTGGGAATTGTAGGGGTTTATATAGCTATCCGGGTAAAGTTTTATGATAAGACAATTCAATATTCCATTATACTTCACTCAGACAATCTATATGGTTATGCAGTCACTCCAGCCCCAATTCACTTTTGTTCATTCACAACATTCTGATAGATGTTGCATAGTGAAGTCTATGTAGCATCGCTTACAGTAACATTGCATTGCTATACTCAGCTGTTAGTATATATTCACTGTATGTCCATTGTGCCCAAGCTGTCCAAATCCAGGTAGGAGGATTACATGCATACAACTTAGTCACATCGAGTGAATTCAAATGCACAGAGAGTGACATAGATATGGCTAACTAAAAGTAACTGTCTCACAGTTGGACATCTGACTGGGTATGCCGTTATCCACGGTAGTTTCGTAGGTGGAAGCTCAGTGAGACCGGAGGGGATTGAGGCAACAGTTTCGCTGCTTATCCCGGTTAGTCGCTACGACCTCCAAGGGATTTTGATTTACTGGCAACGGTCCAAATTTCTTGTCAAGCAGTCATACATAAAGTCGAGAGATATCGGTGTTTCTTTGTCCCACAATATTCACATAGCCTCGATGCGGCTATCATCATTCCAGCCTATTCACTAACCATAGTCAGCTTATGGGCCTCCTCAAATAAAGAATAGTCATGTCTCATGACATATATCATAGGTCTTAACTCGCTAAACGGACAGTACAAAATTGACCAATACAAATTACTCTGGCAGGACATGTCCAACCTTCTCATTAATTTGTGTACCCGGACATATCAATACCCCGCAGCCTGTAACAACTGGAAGGTGAATTTGAAATTGAACCAAATGGAAGGTTACTACAAGGACCACAGACTTGACACTTGGCAGGTCTGGGGGCCATGACTACACCCAATGAAAAGGAAACATGGTTTCACCGAGAGCCTTATCTAATAGCAGGGACGTTGGAATTCAAATCCAAACGGAGATTGTTCTCTTGCCGGTTGCTCAAGCGATGCATTAGTTCAACGACGTTTAAGTGTATACTGTTGAATGGTGAGATTACTAGGCTCTGTTTTGAATCCGGCCCCATATTTAGATCCCTAATAACACGGAGGCTGCAGCCATGTTATATTGCTTTGGTCAGAATACTACATGGTGGTAATGAGGCTCATGTTGTCTTTCATTCCCAGAACAGGCGCGATGATAATCAAACTACGGTTACATTCGGTGGTATTCGAGCGGTAGGTGAATTTGTGATAGGACATCCGATTTGTAATGATGCTATATTGAGCTACTGGCAATAGGAGATACAGCTGTTACTAGTTAGGAAACGTTGCATGTTGTTACAGAGACACATGTTGATTTAGGAGATGCTTCAACATACAATGCTGCCCTATGCTAGGGCTGGCTCATGTAGATAGAGTCGAGGAGGCGCTTTATCTGTATTTATTATTAGAAAGATTACTCTTTGGTAAGCCCTTGAACATAGTGGCAAAGAAAAACAGCTGTGAACATAACACGGTTGTGTAGTGTAATGGTCAGCACATCAGACTCTGAATCTGGTAATCCCGGTTCGATCCCGGGCACGACCTCTTCTTTTTGGTTTTTTCTTTGCTTGTCCTTTTTTCGCTGTATTTCTTGCTATGCGCTAGATGTTCTATTGAATTCTGTTTGTTGTGGGTGTGATTCGGAGTTATACCGGTCAGGTAGATGTGATGCTGATCTATCCGGAAATTCATACACATCATGTCAATATATCATCACATTTGCACATACACTTCAGGTGATCAACATCTATGTGATTTAAGTTGAGTCATCATGTCTCGGAAACACGGGTCCAGGTATGCATCTCAACATATAGAGTATAACCAGTCTAAAGCATAGAAAGCGCCACGAGAGTCTCACATAGAATTCCCTGTTTGTTTTTCACAAATGTTACTCCACTGATTGTGGGGTTCACTGTTCAGGAACAGATAAAGATCCAATTTCCCTGCCCCTATTTGAGGTGAAAGACAGATCTATAGTCTTGCCAAGCTTTTTGTAGCCTGTTTAAACCAATCCTTTGAGCGAAGATGCGGATGAGAACAGGGGGCCTGCTGCCTACAGCTGTTAAACAAGTACCGAATCATAGTCTACAGTGAAACTTTGTCTTGCGTACAGCAATAGGATCTCGCAGTCAACGGGTCAGTTCGGACGCAAATCTTCACGTCTCCTTGCTTCCAAGAGCTGAAGATCTGTATGGACCCCTTGCATTCGTTCTCTTCCTCAACTGGACTTCCTGACCGACATATCAGTTACAGTGAGTTTTAACTGGAGGACTACTGGTGTAGTATAAAACAGTGAGAGCATTTAAAGACCTTATTCCTGGGAAAGTAGCAAAGTATGCCTATCTACTGATAGCCTAACACATAGTAAAATTTCTCTATCTGTAATTATAGGTTAGTTCGTCAGGCTGTATATATGTACATAGAGAAACACCCAATAGGACAGGAAAGAGTTGGTGTTCTAAATAGACATGTGCTACTTCTGTTTATAGAACCCGACATGTCAAGTCGTCAGGGATACATCACATCGGAATTTCATATCGGAATTGGCGAATCTGACGGGTCGAGACCACTAGTGCAGTTGACTCTATATCCTCAGCCCCAGACTCCTTACTTGATATCAGCCAACCTTGTATGCACATAGCATGAGGCATGCTCAACAAAATGGTACATTTTTGCCCCTGAACCAGAGACCAGGTGAGTAACTCCTACAAAAGGACCGGCAATTCCTCCTGGTTAACCCTTTCAATTTAATCTTCCAATTTGCAATAAACCTTTGACTGCATTAAGCTCTACCTCCTCCAGAACCAAGACAAGCAGATTCAATATGAAATTCTTCTATTCTCTCCTCTCTATTGCCCTCGTTGTCGGAGCTGCCCAGGCCACGGGAGAGGAAGACAATAAATGGATAAGATCCGTAAGTCGCGATCCTTTCTCCCTCAGGACTATGAATCTCTGAGCTAACATTGTTTCCAGTGCCTCCAAGGATGCGCATTGTCGGGTGCCGTATGTTTCTCGAGCGCACGCTAGTGAGATGTTGCGATACAGGCTAACACTTGACAGGATGCTCGACAACAGAACTGCCTTACCACATGCTGCAAGACATATCCGGATGCCAGTGTTTGCAAGAACTAAGACGCTCAACGCTGAAAGTGAGGTTCGTCTGTAGTAACAGGTACCTTAGCCAGGTATGAGATTATTGAGGGGGGTTGGTATTGAAGACATGTGGCAGGAATGGTATAGATAAGGGATAAATAGCAAGGGCCTGGAGGATCCGATGTGCTGCCCAAGTAGTTGAATCTCTTGAATATAAATCTCGGTACCCTATTCTCATTTCACATAAATTAGTAGATGGTTCCATCTAGCATCTCAATACATGAATATCAGCATAGACACAACGTAGAACATGGGATTATACGTTGTTGATATTTGATCTAGCATGTACCCACACCCTTGAGATTTACAATTCATAGACCAGGCTCACAGAATCACTATGATAGGTAGCTGCATGATTTTTTCATGGAACCTGACAGGTCGATTCATTAAAGAACCCCCTGCATTCATAACAGCCAGCCACGTAGACTACGTACAATCGACGGACATGGTCTATAAAAGGGCCGGTATTCCCAGCAGAAAGATGTCTATCCTGTTGCCTTTCAGAATACACCGTCAGTTCCTCTGTTAAATTACACCGAAGAAACATTCAAAGTCGCAATGAAGTTACTCTCTTCTCTGCTTTCCATTACCCTTCTTTTTGGAGCAGTTCAAGCCCTGGGCAGAATGGACATTCCCGCGAATATTGAAGAGTTTTCGCAGGTACGAAAATTTGACCTCTGAATGATATAGTTTCACAAACTAATGACTGTTTAGTGTATGAACAATTGTCCCAGAGGCGTAAGTTCTTGATCTCATTCTCTTTCCCCTCTTTTTTTTTTTTTTTTTTTTTTTTTTTTTTTTTTTTGGCTCCAAGTCGATTAATATATGAGCAGGAAGCGGGATTTTCATGTTTGACGGAGTGCTGCACCAAGTACGGAGGTCAAGATTGTGGCAGTAGTTAACAGTAGTTAACCTAGGGTCTTGTTATGTATGTAAAGGACAATTCCCATAAACTGGTATAAATGCATAAATAATCCCGCTGAGTCATTGCTTTGCTCGCGGAGAAAGTGTTCTTCCGAAGATAACATGATCCTCGATTCTCGCGGGAATTCTTTTAGATTCGATTTCCCTTGTGTCTGATTATCCTGTAAGCACAACATCCTGTTCGTCCTCACGGCTTCTTCTCCTCCGCGCTGCTGTAGTTTATGAAGCCTTGGGACGTGCTGGGAAATCATTCACAACTCTATCCGCTCCCAGCGGTTTTTAGAGCCCATTGCGACCGATCGCCCCGCTCTCCGCGCGCGGCCATCCGCAGCCATGGCGCAAAGATACATGGTGCCGTGGCTCTATGACCTGGGAATCTGGATCTTCACCTTGTGTCTCGATATCTTTTTCCGAGAAGTGTACTCTCGGGGCGCCTGGCGCATCCCAAGGCGCGGACCGGTGATCATCGTCGCCGCGCCCCATGCGAATCAATTTGTGGACTCGATCTTGTTGATGCGTATTCTGAAACATGCGGCCAATCGTCGCAGTTCCTTCTTGATTGCGGAAAAGTCCATGCGGGAGCCATATATTGGCACCATGGCCGGGTGTATGGGAGCCCTTCCTGTCGTGAGAGCGCAGGATAACGTCAAACCGGCCAAGGGCGAGATCTATCTCCCAGACCCCGACAACGATCCCACTTTGGTACGTGGTCGTGGCACCGATTTCACCAGTAGTCTGTTCATGGAGCGTGGAGCCATCATTCTCCCCCGCGTGGGAAAGACTAGTCCAGAGCAACAAGCGATTGCGCAGATTCTCGGCCCAGAGGAATTGCGACTGCGGAAACCATTCAAACAGTTTGAAGCCGATCACCCGCTGTACGACGGTCTGCGCAAGGGTACCGCCTTCAAAGTAGCTCCTCACATCGATCAGAGTCAAATGTTTGATGCGGTGTACCGTGAACTCTGTGCGGGTGCCTGTATGGGTATCTTCCCCGAGGGTGGCAGCCATGACCGGCCCAGTTTGCTTCCTTTGAAGGCCGGCGTCGCCATTATTGCCCTCGGTGCGTTGGCTCGGGAACCAAATTGCGGTCTGACTATCATCCCCTGCGGCATGAACTATTTCCACCCGAACAAGTTCCGTTCTCGCGCCGTGGTCGAGTTTGGTAACCCCGTCCACGTGCATCCGGACCAGGTCGAAGCGTTCAAGGCAGGAGGGGACGCAAAACGTAATGCTATCGGGTCTTTACTCGAGACCATCCAAGGCGCCCTCACTGCCGTCACTCAACAGGCACCGGACCACGAAACGCTCATGCTGATTCAAGCCACCAGACGACTCTATCGGCCTCTCCGGATGAGACTTCCCTTACCCATTGTGATTGAGCTGAACCGGCGACTCCTCAAGGGTTATACCCAGTTCAAGGATGAGCCGAAGATTCTTCAATTGAAAAAGTCGATATCGGACTACAACCGTCGCCTCCGAGCCTTGGGAATACGAGACCATCAAGTCGAATGGGGTGATATCGAGCATCGGCCATGGTGGATGGTCTCAGGCACTTTGTTGTATCGCGTGGGAGAACTTCTCACCTTAGCGGTGGGGACTTTACCCTCGGTTGCGCTCTTCTGGCCGGTCTTTGTCACCACAAAAATTATCTCAGTCAAGAAGCAAAGAGCCGCCCTGGCCGGCTCGGTTGTCAAACTGGAAGGTCGCGATGTGGTCGGAACCTGGAAAATTCTCGTCGCCATGGGTCTTGCACCCACCCTGTACACCTGGTACACTATGGTCATCACGTCGTGGTTACACTACTGTCGCCATGCGGGCTATTATTGCTCCGTGTCGCCGTGGTGGACAGACCCGAGGACCTATGTGGCCGACTCGATTCCTCTGTGGCTCTTTTCAATGTTTTTCTTCGGACTCATGATCTCCGTTTCTTTTGCGGGTCTCCGAATTGGTGAAATTGGCATGGATGTGCTCAAGTCTCTCCCTCCGCTCCTCGTTGCCCTGAACCCGATCTCTGCCAACTCCCTAGCCCAGCTCCGGGCCGAACGTCAAGCGCTGTCGGCGCAAGTGGTAGACACGATTGACACTTTCGCGCCCGAGCTGTTCCCGGATTTCGAATCGGAGAAATTGGTCCCTCATGGGTATCCACATGATGATACCTATCAATCCCGACTGAAGAGTATGCCCCCAAGTGAACCTGAAAGTCGCAACGCCAGCAAAAGCCGGCGCAGCCGAAGTCGATCCAGAAGCTCGGGCTTCAATTTCCGAGACACAGTGCTCAAACCGCTCACGGTCGGATCCAAGGAAGATCTGGGGGAGGTCAACCGGAAAATCCGCGATTCGATGAAGGAGCGAGGACGGGAGCGTGTCCGGGCTCAGTATGACTCCGATGCGGATGCTGTACTTGTCGACGGATCCACCGGCAGTGAGAGCGGCGATGGGGTGGAAGAAAAGAAGACCAGGTAAATTTT